GAGGTCCTCGGGAGTGGAGGTCTTGGGTCGCTCTTCTGCTCCCAGCCTCCGGGACTGCTCGCCGGGCGAGGTTCCCGGAGCCGAGCCAGGGGAGGATCCGGGTGCCGCGTTCCCTCGCCTAGGAGGAGCCGAGCCCTGGAGCCCAGGGAGCGATTAAAGGGATGGGAAATGGGTTCCTGAAACAGTTGGTTTGGGTTTCCGAATTGGGGAGGCCCGGACTCTAGATACAGAAGCTCCGCTCTTGGCCCGGGAACGTCAGGCCCAGCTTTCGAGGAGACACGCATTGGACACAGGAATGTTAACAGCAACGTGAATTTTAATGAGAGGGCAGAACAAGGAGATATCCGCTGCCCAGAGTTTGGGGCCAGGCGCTGCTGGATAAGGCCTGGGGGGTACGGGGGTCACCCATATATCCTGTCATTTCAGGAGGCCGAGTTTTCTCCCGAAACCCGCGTAGGTATCGGTGGCTTTGTTAGCGGTCTTGTCGATGGTTTCCTGGGTGGACTTGGCCAGCTGGTCCATGGCTGGGGAGGGAAAGGGGAGGCAGTTCAGGACAGGGCCCTAGGGAACCAGTGCCACAGACTGTTAGCCTGGCCAGGGTCTCTCTCCCCCAGGAAGCTTGACATGGGGCATTCTGGGCAGAGGGGTCTGCAGAGGTGAGGGTATGCCTCAGCCAGGGCTGGGGTACAGTGGGGAGTGTTCTGGGGCTGCCCGCCACCCTCCCCTCCAGCCCCACCAGACCTTTCTGCCCGGCCTCTGTGGCCTGATCCACCACTTGCTGAGCTGCTGTTCCGGCTGCTGTCACTGCAACAGAGAGGTGATGTGGCCCTCAGCCCTCATTGAGGCACCAGTGACCACAGGGGCCCCCCATTGCCGCAGCCCATGTATTCTCTATCATGGTCTGTCCACCAGTCTCAAGGGACAGATGCCGTTGAGATGAGTCCCTTGCCCCGGGCCACCCAGCCCGGGAGGGGCATGAGCCCTTTCTGTGCCTCTGGAGTGTTCTTGTTTATAACTCTGGGCTCCTCCCCTCTGGCCCGCTTCCCTTCCCATCCCTAGGGTTGCTGAGAGAATAAATGTTGGACAGAGGAAGGAAGGAGGGGCAGGGCCAGGCTGGAGCTGGCATCTGGGCTGTGGCAGCTGCTGGGCATGGCCCAGGAAGACCCTGCTTCCCTTAACAATAACAACTTCTCCCCTAGAAGCCTAGCCCAGACGGCCAAATTCCCACTTTTAGTGCACTCGGCCCTGGGGCCTCCACTTTTGCCAGGCCCCTCACTACCTCCTCCTTCCCGTGGCCTGCCCACAAGAAATGCCAACGACTCCATGGACCTTAGGATACAAGTTGCAAAGAGGAGGCCAAACTTCCAAGGTCAGGTCATCCCTCTGGACCGCAGTTTCTGCCTGTGGCAAACTGAGTTTCCAGGGGCTGCAGTGGGCTGTGCCCTGCAGCGATCCGACTCATCCTTGCCGCTGAAGAGGAAAGGGCTGGCCTTACCAGACCCCATCCTTGGGAGAGGGATAGTCAGGTCTGGCAAGTGCGCACAGAGGCCCTGGGGGCCTTGTCTTACATAACCATCAGAAAGCTCAGAGAAGGAGCCTTTGCATCCAGCTTACAGATGGGAAAAGTGAGGCTCAGAAGAAAGCTCCTGTAGACAGAGGTTTCCTTGGTAACATTTTAGTCTCAAGGGGAGAACTGTGAGCTTTCCCTGGAACAGCAGAAGGAAAGGGGTAGGTTTGGATATTGTCTCTTGACTAGAATTGGGCAGAACTGATTGGGAGCTGAAGTCCCAAGGAAGCCTGGGTCAGGTGCTGGAAGAACCAGCCCCTCCCCTCTACCCCTACCCCCAGCCTCCTCACCTCCAAATAAGGAGGAGAGCGCTGGAGGCGAGAAACTAAGGCTGGGACCGGCCCTGCCCGTGAGGACTAAAAGTAAGAAAATTGTTATTTGGGGGGGAGGAGCGTGTGGAAGAAAAGCCTGGCGCGGTCTGCAGCAGCCTCCCCATCCCATCCGGTGCGGGCCTGGATGTGGAGACCCGGGCCGGCGGAGGGAGGGCTGCTGT